TTTGGGACTAGTTAAAGCCGTGGAACTTGTCCCGAACTTACTGCATGAAATGGGATTTGGGACAAAATTTCAGTTATGGCTAGTTTGTACTAATAGTTATAATTATTTGGACAGCAACTATAGTCTGTTGGTAATTCAAGCAAATCAGCATATAAGTTCTAAGATATGATACATTTCTTCAATTAATAAAAAATAATAATTTGCCTAAAGGTTACATGAATTAATGCGTTGCTAAATCTGAATAATTCTATTTCTTTTGTAAGAGAAACAAAATATTACGTAACAAAAATTTTCATAATTTAATTATGTAACTTTTAAACCAATTAGGTAAAATGGCGAATTAAAACTATTACAAGAAAACTAATCTTTTTACTAAATAAATAAACCTCATTTACTAAGTAGTATTGTTCGAAATACCGTTTTTTACTTCAACTTTTTATTACGTAGTAGGCTTTTTTTGTTATAACCTTTGACGCAGAAAATTAACATGAAAAACCTACATTGCATGATACTTAAAAGAATACATTTTCCTATTTTAAAATTTTTAATTTGATTGGGTCAAAGTCCTGTATTTTGATTGGTTAAAAACTTTAAATTTTTATTACTGTATTATATTACAGTAAGATCAAACCAATTTGATTGGTTGTTTATTTAAAATGTGACCATTTTTTTATATGTTGAGCTACTGTTTGCCAACAAGAGGAAACGTTGTTGTTACACATATGAGTGCTGTCAAAAGAAAACCTGTCATCGGGCTTTCAATTATATTTTGTGCTCAGTTTGTTCTCTGAGTGCCGTCTAAAGAGAGTCTATCAACGGGCTTTCAATTATATTTTGTGACAATTCATTACAAATATAATTGAAAGTCCGATAATAGAGTTTTCCTGGACGGCACTCAGAGAACAAGCTGAACACAAAATATAATTGAAAGCCCGATGACAGGTTTTCTTTTGACGGCACTCATATAGTTTAACCGGTGAGGGATTATATATATATATATGTAACATACATTATAAAATTGAACTCAATATAAATAATTTTATAATTAATTGATCACATCATGTGTGGGATTAGATATGTAACGTTAACTGTTCCCGTTTACCATTGCCTACAGTATCCAGGTCTTATTCAAGAAACAAGTCAGTAGGGATGATGAATAATACCCAGGTCTTAATCATGAGGGCAAAACGATGCCATTTTGGCCAAAAAAATTAAAATATTTCAGCAAATGCTTGTCCAAGTTGCATAAAATTTTTAGGATATATATTTTGATGTTTTAAATAACTTTACTTAAGAGCCAAAAACAGTTTACTTAAAAAACCAGAAGGGTAGCTTATTTTCGAACATATACTATATTTCTACGGCTATAAAGCCGCTGAGTTGTAGTCAATTTGATTTAGCTACAAATTAGCGGCTACCTTTTTTAAATATCTTTTTTTTAAAATAAAAAGTTAATAGCTTTTGAAGTGCGCTGTACTAATAAAAGGTTGCTAATATTTCACGAAATTTTGAAGTGAAAATTGGTATTTCGAACAAAATTACTTAGTGAATAAAGTTCGATTTATTTAGCAAGAATTCAGGCTGGTATTATAAATGGTTATTAAATAAAGTAGAAGGAACTAATCTCGATGTTATGGATCGTCAATTTACATATCTTCGCCACTTTACCCTCGTAAAATTAAGAATCGTAATATTCGAAGTCGCGTTAAGTAAAACAAATGTTATATATATATATATATATATATATATAACTCAAAGGAAAATACAGTAAGCATTAAATAATCTCGGTTTTCAAAATGGGTGAAAATGGCAAATAAAAAATTTTTTGGTGAATACTGCGAATACTCGATTATTCGATTACTTTAGCACATTGATTAAATATCGATGCCTGATTTTATGTACAATGTGATTGTTTTAGTCAACAATTATATACAATTGGATATCGATCTTTAATCAATGTGCTAAGGTAATCGAGTAATCAAGTATTCACAATATTCACTAAAAAAATTTGTCATTTCAAACCATTTCGAAAACCGCATAATTAAAAATTTAAAGATATAAAAATTTCCCAAACTTTTCATTAATGAAAACTCAACTTCGCCATTTTACCTATTTTACCTCATATCTTGATAATTATCTAACAAATTCAAATTGGTTAAAACATACTAATTCGATATCTAGACAAAGGAAGTAATCATTAAAAAAAAAAAAAAAATCTAAAATTTATTTTAAATTCTGAATTCAGTCTTAATTATAATAACTCCTTGTTTTTCTTTCTTAGAAAATTATAAATTTTTTTTTTTTCTCGAAAATACGAATTAGTGCGTGCGTACGTACGTATCCTATACAGTAATTAATACGTATAAATCCTGTTATATTTGTCATGTGAAACATGTACAAGGGTGTTAATGGTGTTAATTGCTTCCATAATAGAAGTTTATGCACTTTCCAATTTAATATATGTGAGAAACCTTTGTGAATCGTAGTACAATTGCCGGAAAGTGAGTACAGAATAAATTACATTCCTGATTGCACTTTGATATTACAAGTATAAGAAACTATAGTTAAATACGAAGCTTCAACAAAGTAACTACAATTGTGATCGATTTTTAAATTGCCACGACTGGTCGATTGGTATAGATTTGTTTTTTGTTGATTAACAATTGATTAACATTCTTTCCTAGAGCGGTTAATAGAACTTCTAAAACTTCGTTGCACACGCTCAGAGTTCACAGTTCGTTCGCAATCCATAAGCAACTTTCACGCAATTCACTTTAAGGAGGGGCTGGGTCGTTGGGGCCAGTAAATTGAAACCTTTTGTCTATATTTTTAAAAGGGGTTTTTATTGTCAATAAGTGTCAAATATATACACCGCTTTTGCTTTCAGTTCTAGAAAAAATTATTATATATCCGTTATATTCCTATGCCTGCCAGACGCAGACCTGCTGAATCGCAAGGCTCTCCGAGTACTAATACACAAGACAGTACTTACGCTTCACCTCGCAGCACGAGAAGTAAAAGTAATTCACGCAAAAATGGTATCAATAATAATGATAACGGAGGTGTTCCTTACATTAGCTCCCCAAAATATACGGCGTATCTAAGAGAACGCAATTTGGATTTTTCGAGAGAAGAAGCTTTTCTTCGAGCGATGCAGCAATCTGATTTTTGGCCGGGTGCATTAACGCCACCCGCTGAACCTTCATATCCGTCTTACTACCCGGACGAAGAAGGCGACACAAATCTACCTGAATCAATTATACCTGGAATTGATAGTAATGTAATTAACACTCGTGAAATCATTAATACAAATGGCAATGGGCCTAATGTCAGTACACGTTGGAATCCATTAAAGCCTTTGATAAACTTTTTAGTTGGTTCACTTGCATTCTTACTCAATGCTATTGGATCAGCTTTCTTTTACTTATACTGGTTCTTTAGAGAAACCCCAAATTTTATTTGGAAAAACTTAACTGAAGATGAAAATGGTCCTTTCATAGAAACAATAGTTGGAATTGATCGCAATGTACCATCTACAACTCCTAATTATATTGTTATTGCTATTACTAACGTCCGTCGATTCAATAAAATCGCTAACTGTCCTTCATAACCTGGAAAAGGCCAACATTGACCAACATTTGTATCTGGTGTTATAGCCGTGACTCGTGGTTTTCCGCGTAGAATACCTTGACCTGAAAATTGAGCAAACATTCGTTGATACCATTTTTCAGGCCATAGTTCGTAGGTCTTGCTTGTAAACCGGCTGATTACTTTTGCACCTCCAGAATACAGAGCGAAATCTGGCCTATTTAACTTATCTTGTGAAAACACTAAAAGTTCTTCCGAAACAACCTTTCGTGCTTCCTTACGTATTATTTCCATCATTTCTT